TCCTCATCAGGCACTGCACACCCAACAGGTGCAGCACTCATGGAGTTGAGTTCTTGAGACTAGGTCCCCATCAGGTGCACCACCCTTGTGATTGACAGCAGATAGCAGTGAGCAGATTCCATAACCATTATTCAGCCCAATAGCAGCCACGGAATCTGACCACTGTTGTCCACTGTCAATTACAAGTGTTTCAGACCTGACAAAGAACTAGCCTCTCAGCATCCTCATCAGGCTCCACATACTCAACAGGTGCAGTGGTCATGGAGTTGGGTTCTTGAGAGAATGAAACCTGATGGGAATTATTAGAGACTAGGTCCCCATCACAATCGCCTTGTGAATCCTGCTATTACCAAATATGGGTTTTACCATACTTGGGTAATAACAACAGCTAGCATTCCAGACCCCTTTGTTTGCATACAGCTGTTAGCCAGGGAACCTCCCATCTGGCAGTTGAATGGAGGCAGGGGTGCCTCATTGGTTACTAGGATGTCGGCATTCACCAGCATCCAAGAAACCCATAAGCTCTGAGCAGTAAGCTGTCATATTCATGACACCTTTTCGAGCAAACAAGTCCTACTGTTTACTACATTGGACCCACTCTGAGCACTGACGTCTCTCTATAAGTCTGCTCAGAGTTGGTCTTAATTACTAACAATTTCCGTGTCTGGGATTTGGTGGTAATTCTTTTGGAAATTGTCCCAGCCTTAACAACAAAAGTGGAGCAGATAAAAACTGTCTGAATCTGGTGTAAATGCTAGAACAAAAATGTTGTAAGGCTTTCCTAAATTAGATGCAGAAGGTTTTATGCTACCAGAATAGTGTTGCAAAAGCTTTATTGGATTTCCCCGCATGTGTTGGGCAGATGCAATATTTTTTATCTGAGATGATAACATATTTGGAAATATTGTATTTTATCTAAATGACCTTTAAAGTCAACCTGCCATAGATGAAATACTGGGCTGCCCTTACTGGCCACCTTCTGAAAATGCTGGCTGCCTGGCTATGCTTGGCTAAGTGTCTGTCTATTCTAAATGACCAAAATACTGACCTAAGTCCTCGGTCATGTGACGTTGAGACTTCTCTCATGCTTGCTGTAGAGTGGGAGGATCCATGTCATTGCTTTAACATTTCCCATTCACTGTCCAATGGTGGGGCCCTCTCAAGTTCTGAAGTCAATAGCAATGGTACGATACAAACTCAAAGAAGAGCAGCAAAACTTTAGTCTGGCCCTGACTTCAGCAGTTGAACACTGATCCCCACTTGTGGAAAAGGCCCTACAAGAGACATGTGATAACATAGTCAGGTAAGCGCAAAGGGTGGAATCTTTAGATGTGCCCCAGTTCATTGTTTGCCTGGGCAAACTGCTCATGTTTTCCTGCTCCGTTAATATCCAAAGGCAATTTAAGTTACAAGATCAAACAGAAGATAGGAAGATAGGATTACAAGCTGCAGACCATCACTCCCAGAGCTACCAGGTGCTTTTGTTGGTTTATACCCTGACCAGCATATCGCTCTGGTGAGTTCATTTAGGCTATCAGGTGGTGGATGAGCGCTGTATGGTGATCGGAAAAGGGTGCCACTAATATAGAAGAATCTCACTTGGTGTTTTGGAAGTTGCAAGAATATATACTGGACTTTGCTACCCGTTGGAAATCACAACACTTGCACGTTATATATGATTGCACTGGACACTTTATTATTTTTGATTTATTAGAGGTCACAGATTGATCGGCACTGGATTTGATATATATATGGTGATTGGAAAAGGGTGCCACTAATATAGAAGAATCTCACTTGGAGTGTTTTGGAAGTTGCAAGAATATATAATGGACTTTGCTACCCGTTGGATGTCACAACACTTGCACGTTATATATGATTGCACTGGACACTTTATTATTTTCGATTTATTAGAGGTCACAGATTGATCGGCACTGGATTTGATAGATATATATGTTTTTTTACTTTTAATGTGTTTGTGATTAGAAATGTATAATTTTCATAATATTAGCACTTTAGAGAGAGGGGTTGTATATATATTTTATATATAGTCATATAATTAGTCTGTATGTTTGCACATTTTTTTTGCACAGTTTGCACATTTAAGGAGTAGCGCTGTTCCTATTTTTTGACAGCAAAAGAATGGCAGCTGCACCGTTTGTTGTTTTTTGTTTATCTCCTTTTTTAAATTTTTTTATTTTTTTAAAGCTTTTGATATCCAAAGGTCTAGAGCACAGTCCTGTATATTATATATACTGTTTATAAATACAATTTTTTGTCTGGAGTTGGGCTTCAAAGTGAACACAGAACAAAATATTTTAAATTAATTAAACATTTTGCAATAAAAAACAGAATATTCAATATTTAGGGCAGCACAGTGGCTAAATAGTTAGCATCTCCACCTGGCAGTACTAGGGTCGTTGGTTTAAATCCCAACCACGGCACTACCTGCAAGCAGTTTGCGTGTTCTCCCTGCACCTGTGTGGGTTTCCTCTGGGTACTTTGGTTTCCTCTCACACTCCAAAGACATGTTGGTAGGTTCATTGGCTGCTGTCTAAATTGGCCCTAGTATGTGTATGTATGAATGTTGAGACTTGAACCAATGACCTTAGTGCAGCCAGGCAGAAGTGCTAACCACTTAGCCACTGTGCTGCCCCTGGGAGAGAACAATTCTATTGTTTCTATATTCCTACTGTCCAACTTTTATCTAACATTTGTGTTCCTTTTTAGGGCAGTTGCTACTATAATCCCTATAGAGGATTTGTAAAATATCTATACAAAAACATTAAAAATAAGTCCTCCTAAAGTTTATTATTTTAACTTAATTTTAGTATTTTGTATTTTAGTATTTTGATAGCATTTATATATAATAAAACATTCAAAATTTTTTGAAATATATATACTGTATAGCACAGTGGCTAAATGGTTAGCGTTTCCGCCTGGCAGTACTAGGGTCGACGGAAACCCAACCACGGCACCACCTGTCTGGAGTTTTCATGTTCTCCCTGTGCCTGCGTGGGTTTCCTCTGGGTACTCTGGTTTCCTCAAATACTCTAAAGACATGCTGGTAGGTTAATTGGCTCCTGTGTAAATTGTCCCTAGTATGTGTATGTATGAATGTGAGTTAGGGACCTTACATTGTACGCCCCTTGAGGGTTAGGGACTGATGTGAATGTACAATCTATATATGTAAAGAGCTGAGTAAATTGACGGTGATGTATAAGTACCTGAAATAAATAAAATAATAAATATTGGTGCTGCTATTTCTTCGTTCAATCAAACAAATTAAATAGCATTTTTGGTTTGTAGTGTTCAGGTACCACTTCTACTTTAAGCACCCCTGTCAATGGTAAATGGTTCATCTCATCTGTTTAACTGCTACAGCCACAGGGCAGCTCGATCTGTTGAAAAAACAACAAACTTACTGGCCAGATCACCAGGTGAAATAAAAGAAAGAAAGTCTGAAAAAGAAAACTAATGCAGCTATTGCATCTAAGAATTGGTAAGCTGCAATATAATAAATTTTTGCCTTTGGGTTTAATGCTGCTCTAATACTAGATGAGTATTGCAGACACAGACAACCAATTAAAAAACATGTATATGTTATGGCTACCCATATGGACAGGCTTAATTGTTTCATCAGTTCTGGATCTGTGTCATCCAGATAACTTCCGGGTGCATGCATCATAGAGGAAGTTTTTGACAATATTCCCAAACAGTGAGCCGCAACAAGAGACACACTTGAGGAAATGACTAGTTCTGATGATCATTTAAACTGCCATTCAAAGGATCTAATAGAGGGAGGTAGAACATTATTCTACTGACATCCAACCTAGTGAGTCAGCGCACCAAATCCCAGCCTGGATGAGAGTCTCAAAATGCAGCCAGCAGCCAGCAAATGTACTTTCTGTCTGTCTACTAAAGCCTTCAAGCATCACTTAGGCTCCATTCACACCTATGCAGTTTGCTTTTTGTCCGTTTTTTTTCAGTGATTTTTGCAGTTCATGTTGCGTTTTTCTACACGTGTTTTTGCCGCGATTTGTGTTTTGTTCAGCTCTTTCTTTTTTTTTTTTTAAAGTGGAATTTTTTTTTTTTGCTAGGCATAAAAAAAAAATGCAAAACGTAGCAAAATCGTGACAAAAACGTGGCAAAAATACACTACTTTGCATTTTAGCAGATTCTCCATTGAACTATGGACAACACAGTGGCTAAATGGTTAGCACTTCCGCGTGGCAGTACTAGGGTCATTGGTTTGAATCCCAACCATGACACCACCTGCCTGAGTTTGCATGTTCTCCCTGTCCCTGTGTGGGTTTCTTCTGGGTACTCCAGTTTCCTCCCACACTCCAAAGACATGCTGGTAGGTGAATTGGCTCCTGTCTAAATTGTCCCTAGTATGTGTATGTATGAATGTGAGTTAGGGATCTTAGATTGTACACCCCTTGAGGGTTAGGGACTGATGTGCATGTACCAGGGGTGGACTGACAACTCATGGGGCCCCTGGGCAATAGGGGATCATGGGGCCCCTGTGTCCTTGCCCAAACTCAAAAAAGCTTATGAAAAAGGTACTAGGGGCATCTCATGGGGTCCCCTACTTACCCTGGGGCAGTGCCCAAGTTTACAAATGGTCAGTCTGCCCCTGGAATGTACAATATATATGTAAAAGCACTGCATAAATTGACGCCGCTATATAAGTACATGAAATAAATAAACTCTATTGTAGCAAAAATGCTGATTTATGCTTTTAAAAAAGTCCCTGACCCTTTCCAAAAACACAGCAGCTCAAAAAAGTCCTGGATTCTTTCTTAGATACACAGAATATAACTGAATACTAACATTTATAGGTAAAGTTGATCCAGGGAATATCCGATTGCCTCTCGGGGGATCAGGAAGGAATGTTTTTTCCCTGCAGGAGCAAATTGGATCATGCTTTGTTGGGGTTTTTTTTGCCTTCCTCTGGATCAACTGTGGGTGTAAGATTATAGAAGATTTATACTATACAGCAGGGCTTGAAAAAGCTGCTTGCCCGCTCGCCAAATGCGAGGAGAAATTTCTCTGTGGTGAGCGTCTGCGAGCGGTGAGCACAGATGAAGCATGGAGCAACTGCACCTGCGATCCAAGCCTCATTGTGAAACCGAGTTCTGGTTTCCAACTTCCGGTTTCTGGATTCTACAGCACCGCTGCCGAGGGGACAGGTGCAGGAGAGGTCCGCTCTCCTCCGCTGAGAGGAGACACCCTCACCACCACCGCGGGGGACTCGGGGGGGACAGTAAGTACTGTATACAACATGTCCATCACTATAATGGAGTACAGGGGAGCTCAGTAATGTATATCTCAGCTCCCCTGTACTCCATTATAGTGATGACATGTACACAGTATGTATATCCCCCCTCCCCTGTACTCCATTATAGTGATATGACATGTATACAGTAATGTATATCCCACCTCCCCTGTACTCCATTATAGTGATATGACATGTATACAGTAATGTATATCCCCCTCCCCTGTACTCCATTATAGTGATATGACGTGTACACAGTAATGTATATCCCACCTCCCCTGTACTCCATTATAGTGATATGACATGTATACAGTAATGTATATCCCCCCTCCCCTGTACTCCATTATAGTGATATGACGTGTACACAGTAATGTATATCCCCCTTCCCTGTACTCCATTATAGTGATATGACATGTATACAGTAATGTATATCCCAGCTCCCCTGTACTTCCATTATAGTGATATGACATGTATACAGTAATGTATATCCCCCCTCCCCTGTACTCCATTATAGTGATATGACATGTATACAGTAATGTATATCCCGGCTCCCCTGTACTCCATTATAGTGATATGACATGTATACAGTAATGTATATCCCAGCTCCCCTGTACTCCATTATAGTGATATGACATGTATACAGTAATGTATATCCCCCCTCCCCTGTACTCCATTATAGTGATATGACATGTATACAGTAATGTATATCCCGGCTCCCCTGTACTCCATTATAGTGATATGAAATGTATACAGTAATGTATATCCCAGCTCCCCTGTACTCCATTATAGTGATATGACATGTATACAGTAATGTATATCCCCCTCCCCTGTACTCCATTATAGTGATATGACATGTATACAGTAATGTATATCCCCCTCCCCTGTACTCCATTATAGTGATATGACATGTATACAGTAATGTATATCCCCCCTCCCCTGCACTCCATTATAGTGATATGACATGTATACAGTAATGTATATCCCCCCACCCCTGTATTCCATTATAGTGATATGACATGTATACAGTAATGTATATCCCCCCTCCCCTGTACTCCATTATAGTGATATGACATGTATACAGTAATGTATATCCCCCTCCCCTGTACTCCATTATAGTGATATGACGTGTATACAGTAAATATATACCCCTCCCCTGTACTCCATTATAGTGATATGACATGTATACAGTAATGTATATCCCCCCTCCCCTGTACTCCATTATAGTGATATGACATGTATACAGTAATGTATATCCCAGCTCCCCTGTACCCCATTATAGTGATATGACATGTATACAGTAATGTATATCCCCCTCCCCTGTACTCCATTATAGTGATATGACATGTATACAGTAATGTATATCCCCCCTCCCCTGTACTCCATTATAGTGATATGACATGTATACAATATGTATATCCCCCTCCCCTGTACTCCATTATAGTGATATGACATGTATACAATATGTATATCCCCCTCCCCTGTACTCCATTATAGTGATATGACATGTATACAGTAATGTATATCCCCCTCCCCTGTACTCCATTATAGTGATATGACATGTATACAGTAATGTATATCCCCCTCCCCTGTACTCCATTATAGTGATATGACATGTATACAGTAATGTATATCCCCCTCCCCTGTACTCCATTATAGTGATATGACATGTATACAGTAATGTATATCCCCCCTCCCCTGTACTCCATTATAGTGATATGACATGTATACAGTCTGTATATCCCCCCTCCCCTGTACTCCATTATAGTGATATGACGTGTATACAGTAATGTATATCCCCCCTCCCCTGTACTCCATTATAGTGATATGACATGTACACAGTAATGTATATCCCCCCTCCCCTGTACTCCATTATAGTGATATGACTTGTATACAGTAATGTATATCCCCCTCCCCTGTACTCCATTATAGTGATTTGACATGTTGTATACAGTATGCAGTTGAGCACAGAGGGTATGTGATCTCTTATTAAAAAAAAGGAGAAAGAAGGTATTTATAGTGGTTTTTATATGTATACACAAATGTTTTGCCTTGCAATTCTATTTTAAACTGGATAGATTGTTTTACGAAGGTTCACATATACTTTAACCACTTCTATACCGGGCACTTTTACCGCCTTCCTGCCCAGGCCAATTTTCAGGTTTCAGTGCTTTCACACTTTGAATGACAATTGCGCAGTCATGCAACACTGTACCCAAACTAATTTTTATCATTTTGTTCACACAACTAGAGCTTTCTTTTGGTGGTATTAATCACCACTGGGGATTTTATTTTTTGCTAAATTAACAAAAAAAGACTGAAAATTTACAAAAAAAAAACATGTTTTTATTTGTTTCTGCTATACATGTTTGCAAATAAATAATTGTTCTTCATAAATTCAGGCCGAGATGTATTCTGCTACATTTCTTTGGTGAAAATAACCTAAATCAGTATTTATTATTTAGTCTGAAGGAAAGTTATAGAGTTCACAAAGAATTTCTTTGCTATAAGCAAGCATTTAACTGAATGAAATTGATTAATTTAGGTTTTATTTTTGTGATTAGCTGTGATTGGCCACAGTTACTCACATGACACAGATGGGCTGTGATTGGCCCAGCCTGTGCATGTGATCACTGTGACCATTCACAGCTAGACACTCTTGTGTACAATGGATGGCATGAAAGGAAGCCATCCATTGTAGGCAACTGTCATGCGGCCTGCTGTGAATGGTCACAGCAGGTCACATGGTATTGGCAATGGGGACGGTACACAGATCTGTCATCGGCCGTGTCCAAGGTACACACTCAGTGACAGATCTCACCACATATGCCGCCCTCCTGGAGGGACGGAGGGCTCGCCCGGCCGTCATTTACTATAGGCCGGGTGGGAAGTGGTTAAAGTGTTTGTAAAGGCTCATGATTTTTTACCTTCATGCATTCTATGCATGAAGGTAAAAAACCATCTCTGTGCAGCAGCTCCGCTAGCCCTCCCTAATACTTACCTAAGCCCCCTCTTGATCCAGAGATGTGCACTGGAGTCTTGCCTATCCCGGGACTCCCTCTCCTCATTGACTGAGATACTGGCAATCACAGCCAGTGAGCCAGTGAGAAAAAAGAGGAGGCGGGGCCGAGCCATGGCTCTGTGTGTGAATGGACAAACAGAGCAGAGATTGCCCCCATAGCAAGCTGATTCTTGGTGTGGGGGCACTCGACAGGAGGGAAGAGCCAGGAGTGCCGGTTGGAGACCCGAGAAGAGGAGGATCTGGGCTGCTCTGTACAAAACCACTGCACACAGCAGGTAACTATAGACATGTTTGTTATTTTTTCTGTAAAAAATGTAAGCCTTTAGTATTGTTTTAACAACCATGTCCAATAATAGCTGATGTCATAATGCAATAAAAGTAGCCATATACAAAATCTTAAATGATTTTGGTGGTATTATGCAGCTTTGATTGTTACATACAGTAGTTACATTGTTAGTCTGGCTGGTTGAACTGGATGGACTTTTGTCTTTTTTCAGTCAGACTAACTATGTAACTATGTAAAGACAAAAGTCCATCCAACGATAAAAAAAAAAAGTTATAATCCTATACCCACAGTTGATCCAGAGGAAGGCAAAAAAACCCAGCAAAGCGTGATCCAATTTGCTCCTGCAGGGGAAAAAATTGCTTCCTGATCCCCCGAGAGGCAGTCGGATATTCCCTGAACCAACTTTACCTATAAATGTTAGTATCCAGTTATATTCTGTGTATCTAAGAAAGAATCCAGGCCTTTTTTAGGGCAATCTACTGAGCTGGCCAGAACCAACTCTTGAGGGAGTCTATTCCACATTTTCACAGCTGTTACTGTGAAGAAACCTTTCAGTATTTGGAGATTAAATCTCTTTTCCTCCAGACGTAAAGAGTGCCCCCTTGTCCTCTGTGATGATTCAGGGTAAATAGCTCTACACTGAGTTCATTATATGAACCACTGATGTATTATACATTGGGGATCATATCCCCCTTAATCTCCTCTTCTCAAGAGAGAATACATTCAGTTCCTCTAATCTTTCCTCATAGCTGAGCTCCTCCATGTCTCTTATCAGTTTGGTTGCCCTTCTCTGTACTTTCTCCAGTTCCCCAATGTTCTTTTTGTGAATTGGTGCCCAAAACTGAACTGCATATTCCAGATGAGGTCTTACTAATGATTTGTACCGGGGAATGATATATTTCTCTCTCTGGAGTCTCTACCTCTTTTAATACAAGAAAGGATTTTGCTTGCCATTATTAAGCTTGTGATCTACCAGAACCCCCAGGTCCTTCTCCACCATTGATTCCCCCAGTTGTACCCCCCCTAGTATGTATGATGCATGCATATTATTAGCCCCCAAGTGCAGAACCTTACATGTATCAACATTAAACCTCATTTGCCACATAGTTGCCCAATTAAACAGTGCATTGAGGTCGGCTTGTAAGTTGGAGACGTTTATAAATATATTAAAAAGTAAGGGTCCCAACACTGAACCTTGGGGTACACCACTGACAACCCCAGACCATTCACCACTACTCTCTGAATACGATCTTTTAGCCAGTTTTCTATCCATTTACATACAGATTTTTCCACACCTGTAGACTTTACCTTACACATTAGCTGTGTGTGGGGAAATATGTCAAACGCTTTGCAAAATTCAAGTATACCACGTCCACCGCCACTCCTCTGTCCAAGTATACCACGTCCACCGCCACCCCTCTGTCCAAGTAAACCACGTCCACCGCCACCCCTCTGTCCAAGTATACCACGTCCACCGCCACCCTTGTGTCTAAGTATACCATGTCCACCGCCACCCCTCTGTCCAAGTATACCACGTCCACGTCCACCCTTCTGTCCAAGTATAAACCACGTCCACCGCCACCCCTCTGTTCAAGTATACCACGTCCACCGCCACCCCTCTGTCCAAGCATACCACGTCCACCGCCCGCCCTTTGTCCAAGGTTTTGCTCACCTCCTCATAAAAAGAAATCAGATTTGTTTGACAACTTCTGTCTTTCATGAATCCATGCTATCTGTTGCTTAAAATAT